TTGTACTCTTCAAGATGTCTTTCGGTCATTCAGCCCTTCAACTTCATTTCCACATATTTATTTTTCATTTCAATTTATTTAATTAGCACTTTCTTTCCCTTTCAATCGATATTCGCACCTCATTTACGTATAACGTTTTCAATTTCTCAACAGACTACTTTATTTCAAATAAGCTTTACCGGCATTACTGATCGTCATTCCATCCTTCAAAAATAGCGGTTACTATTTGATCTCTCAGCAATAAATTCTTTCCAGTCCATATCACTTTTATATTTGCCGAAAAGGAGAAACATATAACTTCATTTATAGGGACTGAAAACATGAAATCGCTGAACGTTAAAGCGCGTTTTTTTGATCAAGAAATTTTGCTAAATTTGACAAAAAAAGGTCGCAAAGGAGGAGTGACTCGTGAAACGGTTGAAGTGTTTTACAGCAGTACTAAGATCATAATTTAAAAATTTAACAAGTGCTTGCTTCATAAAATCAAAGTTTCAAATTCCAAGCAATTTCCGTAAAGGCATTGAATACAATTTCATGGTTATGAATTCCATGCAATAATGGGAAAATCACATCAATGATAGTTTGATGCAAACAAAAATTACACAAAGAACCGATATCACTATGAGGCTCAGATAAATTTTATTGCCTGCCGCTTCTATCCTGCTGCTGGTCCTGTTGCTCCTATTGGTCCCTTCATTCCTCTCGGTCCTTGTTCACCCTGCAGTCCCATCGGTCCTCTCGGCCCAGGTCTACCTTTCGGTCCTTGATTTCCTTGCTTACCAACTGGTCCCGTCTTTCCTCGACGTCCTATAGCTCCTGGCGGTCCATCCATTCCTTTATTTCCATCCTTTCCATCTGGTCCTCTCGGTGCCATCTGTGATGGACAAGCCTGAAAATAAAATTTTCACATTTTTTTGAGGTTTCTTTAAATCGTATCACTCTTAACTTGAGAATAACTCATTGAAAAACTTACTTGGACCGTGAAAACAGCGCAGATAACCAATAGGTAAATATTGTAAATATTCATTAATACCAACAATCTGAAATTGGTCGTATGCTCAATGATTGGAATTTTTCAAATTTCCTTTCAAGCCTCGGAAAATTTTGCAAAGGATGGAAAAGAGTCAAAGAAGCTATTTGGCTCTTTTGGAAGGCCATTATGAGCAAAACGTAATTGGTAGGGTATAATTTAAAAAATTTGTTGAAAAGCTAAAATGTGGTCAGAAATGTGAGAAAAACAAAGATTTAAAAGAAATTAAATAAAACAAATTTTAACAGGAAATTTTCTATTTATATCAGAGAATAGAATACTTGGTATGAATCATTCCGGAATTTCTAAAACAAAGAAATATTTCAAGAATTCTTTATGAAGTGACCGCATCGAATGCAGCATTAAAGGATTATTGACGGTTCTGTAGATGCTAAAAGGATTATTTCATGCGATGATTTAAAGTGAACAGAAAGAAAATTCGGTTCCTTGATAAGAGATCAACGGTTGATGGAACAATCTGGGAGAATGGCTCAATCTGGGACGATGGATGGAAGTGCAGGTTTGAAACCTTCAAATAACATAAGTGATATATAATTAGCGCCGTTTATTTGCAATTGATTTATCTTGCAAGAATTTCTGAAAAACTTTGAATTGTTCAATTTTGATTTCTGTAATCTGAGCAGAAGCTCATGTTCAACTTTCTGAATGTGGGAAACAGCAATTCATTGCAGTGTAGAGGATTATA